CCATGGATTCCTATCTTTTTGGAGCCATTAGAAAGAAAGGTGTTCGGTTTCAAGATCGGTAGAAAGATCGTCGTCCTTGGGTAAGACAGAAACGCGAACAGTGGCCAATTTGCTTACGGGTTCGTTTAACACCTGTACGCTTTCCAACAGTGTACTTTTCCTCTTAACGCGGAACGACATCCTCTACGGTTCTCGAGCCGCTGTAATCTTGCGCAATACGCACTCGGAGCTAACAATGCAAGGAACGAAGCGCGACACCGGAAATAGTCGAAATTTTTACGAAATAACCCTCAGAAATTGTGTAATAAAAAACCAAGTAAAAGAAATATTACACGATCGAGTGAACTAAATCGCCTTCCTATTACCGTAAATGTCACTTGCGATATTTATTTCCTAAACGCGATAAATCTAAGAGCTCGTATTCATTTTCTAACCCGTTGCGTTCATGTTCACCTTATCATTAAGTAAATTACGATCGTGGACAAGATTTCGATGTGGAACGTGGAATTTCCTCGAAGAATCGTTTTCTCGAGCGCGACTGGAAAGTAATTAATATTCATAGGGGACACACGCGTTCCACGAGGATCGTTCGGCGTCGTCACGTGCATGGAAAACGGTTACACGCGGAAAGGATATTAAAACCGGAGGAGAGAGTATGGTTTTCAGCCCTCGGTCTCGGTTTTCGATAGACCGATGCTTTGGAGGCGATTAAAAAATGCGTTCAACGATACAGCTGTTCGTAGTACCTGTTAGAGTACACGGAAGAACCAGCGTACGCCTGGTGAATAGATAATCGAACGATAATACTACTTCATCGAAGCTAAATCGTGATCGAAATATCGCATTCCGGTTCAATTACAAATTCATTTCAATTCCATTCGCTAAAGCGTCGCGGTGATTGAATTCATCGCGTTATTATGAATAATTATAATAAATTATAGCGTGAAATATAATACTACCCGGGCTCCGTTACAAACCTTCCATTTATTAGATCAAAGAATATTGAATGAAATTTTTTTAAAGCAACTTTATAATCATGAGCCCCAGAAATCTTAATCCAGTCCTGCCTACGTTCATTTTAGAAACGTAAATTAAAACTCTCTGTCCATAGAAGAGTGCACATAAATGTCGCAAGTACCAGTCGTTTTCCCCTCGTCATCCGATGACAAACACCAGCCGAAACACGGTTAAATAACCCCGAATTTGTCTTCCGGTTGATCCCGCGGTGATAAAGAGGGCGACAGATTCGTCCCCGTTCCGCGTGATAAGGGCCTCGTCACGCTTCTTCCAAGTAAGAAAATCAAATCAAACATCGGCTCGAGCCGTGTTCAGGCGTTGAAAGCGTTTTCTGGCTGGTGACTCCGAGCGGAGTGGCTCTCGAAGCGTTCTTCAAACGCATATAAGGATGCGGTCGAGATGTTATTACAATAAATATTATCTTTGGGACGTTCCAAGCCCGTTTCAAACGCGCGGTTACAAGCGCAGGTTTCCTACTACGCGTCGAGGATCACTCCTCGTTGGCCGACTTTTCTATTCCAAGTTATTAGCTGGTACGATATTAAGGTTATTGGGCTGAAAGGATTCTAGATGAAACCGCGATCAACATAAAAATCAAATGATTTCCTGGGTGAAGTTCCTTTTAGCACATCCTTTCAATTGACTTTAAAATCCTCAGGCAAACTTCACATGCATAATAGAGTCACGTGGCGCGGAAATTCTTGGTTCGTGAAAAATTGCGGCCATTTTCATCACCGCCATCTCACTCTTCTAGACAACAACAACGTGATTTTAAATTCATCTAATCAATCACATCAGTTCACCGTCGTGATTTATGTGGACAGTTCAGTTACGGTGTTTGTGAGTGCATTTTTTCGGCCGCCATCTCATTTGCTTTCTCAATCGCAACTCTATGAACCAATCATCGCGGTTCTTTTGTTCTCTCGCTCGCCACAATCAATGGCAAAAATATCCAGTAAATCCTGTTAGGTTATTTTTAGAAGTTTTTGTAGTTTTTTTTTTTTTGCTCGCGTAATAAAATTCATTCTGTAGAATCCAGAAAAAATTTTTTTCTTAAGAAAGAAATTTCCGCGCCACCGTATTGTAGGAGAGGGGAGAAAGGGGTCCGGGGAGACGAAACCCTCTTCCCTCTACTAAAAACGCCTACAATATTAATGTTTTTCTGATTTACAACTTATGAAAAGTTTGCTTGGTAATTTTTGAGTCAATTGGAGGGGGCTGCTAAAAGGAACTCTTACCGATTTACTTAAGAAATCGCGCATGATTCTGAATGAAGAGCTCGAAACAAGTTGAAACAACACGAAATCAAAGTATAAGAATGAAAGAAATGCAATTGGTTCGATTGTTGAATTTCGGATTCTCTCACCTTCACAGCCGGTCGTTGGCTCGTCAGTGGCATTCTTTATTTTCTTTCGCGTTTCGGTATATTTAACCGGGGGCAACGAGCGATTTCGTCGAATCGCTAAATCAGTCGACGTCCAGCAACCAGGGGCACGTTTTTACCTCGGAACAGAAACGTTGTTGGAACACTTAACCGAATGCATCGATCATCTTGATCAATCGGCTTTAATCCGCGTGTAGCACGCGCGGTTAATCCTTATCTATGGGCCTACACACCGCTACACGGGGATTATAAAATAGGAAAGACACGTTGTAAATAATACAACAGCTGGAAGATTAATCGAGCACCGCTAAAGGTTACTTGTAACGCGCTTTCTTCTTTCTACGTACAATTACTTGCATGGGAAATTTTCCTTGGATTAACTCGTTGACCCCGATGAAATCCAATGAGACGATGAATTTTATTTAATATTTAAAATAAATTCTAACAATGGAAATGGACAATGATCTTGGACATAAGATACCATACGGTGTTAACGTTTTCCAATTAGTTAAAGGGTTCAAGTTCGAAAGCCTCGAGAAATAAACGATCGTTTTAGCCGAGCGACTTTACGCGGTATGTTGACTTCGATACGACACTGCGTTGGAAATATCGAAAACAGAAGCCCCGTGTCTATGAATGGAACGAATAAGCTTTTACTTTCCCCGGAACATTCCAATTATTCTTCTGCCTCGAGTCTTGGATGTAAACAACTTCCCGAAACGACGTCTAAATAGTTTTTCTACACATTCCTTGAACTAAATGTTTCTATATTTATCTGCCAACAACTATTTATCGACATTTCAATCTCTATTTAACAAAGCATAAGCGTCGTATATCGTTTCAATTAGAAATTTAGAAAACGAAACTAATACTTTTTTTTTTTTATTTTACAGCGAGGTCGGGAGGGTGTGCCCCACCCTCCAGGACTCCCGTATAAGTTGTCCCTGAGGGCAAATGCTCGATTACCAACTAATAAAAATTATCTTGGCGACATGAATGTAGTTATTAGAAGATTTGAGTGGGGAGCAGGAAAATTTTCAAAAAACCCGCTAACAAAATAATCAGGGTAGGAAAATTGGGAAATAAGTTGAAAGAAAACGAAATTAATACGAGATACGAGATTGAATTAAAAGCGAGGCTCTCTCCATGGTCCGCCGTTCGAGGGATGATGCCCATTTACGAGACGTTGGACTTTTTCTCAAAACACGCGGACATTTTGCTTCTCTCTGAGTGGTGGCAGCTTTTCTACGAATTTCTCACACGGCTCGACACGTTTCTGTTTATTTTACAGAGGACTTTTTCCGTCGATTTCGGGGGGGCAATTAAACGTCGCGGCGGTTTTGCAGCTGCCGGCCACGTGGCCGAGTCGTTTTCGAACGTGCCAAATGTTTTATCGCGAGGATTGCCCGGCCACAGCATTTATTTTTTCTGCCAACTCGATTCTTGCAATTTTTCTTTTACCCTGTCAAACCGGAGGAAACCGAGCGTCCTAATGCAACTCGAAACACTTTCAGTCTATTAATAATCTCGGATTGTTATCGATTCATCTGTAGCTGATTGAAAAAAAAAAAGAAATGAAAATTTCTATACCGCCATTTTCCCCAGGGAAACATGCTTTGACCAGGAGTGTACACTCATGCTAGGTGCTAAGCTGTTCACAGGTCGTCGACCCAAATACTGTTTTCTTAAACTTCTCAAAGCGAAATGTCGACTGCCTACGCGATAAAGTAAAAAAAGAATCTCGACTTGGGTAAATATTCACCGAAAGAAGCGTCGAAAATAGGTGGGCGGGAAAAAGGAAGGGAAGTAAAATAAGAGTTGTAAGATAATTCGACGAAAAAACGCGGTTTTTACGGCATCGACGAAGGAAAAACGTCGGTCGGAAATCGCGTGTCCGTTTTGTCGCGAGGTGTTTAGCATAAGTAAAAGGGCAGACAGGTGCGCATACATATTAGCTTCTCGCGGTGACTATCGATACATAGTCGACGAACGTCTCTCGAGTTAGCATCGTTTAATCGTATTTCATTCGATGCCTCTTTCAATGTCAGGTCGATCTCGAAACAATTCTTGTATCATTTGTACTTCGTTGATCCATGAATTTCCACTAAAAAATCATCCTTTTTTCACTCTTTTTGTAATTATCTATAACGAAAGAAATAGGGGTTGTTCGAAGAAATATTGGATTAAGGGATAGGGAAGATTTTTTTTGAAAAACTACCGAGAAAGGCAAAGAGTAACAGCATTCCTCTGAAAAACCATTTTCTTATAAATTTAAGGAAACTTTCAATTTTTCAAGCTGAAATCTTTTCAATTAGCTTAGCGTCTAATTAACACTAGAACTACCAAAGGGGTAAAAATGACTTTTTTCAAGTTTCTTATTTTAATTTATAAATTCTATCCAGGTATTTTTGCTGGAATGTATGTTGACTATTGTCGACATATATAATAAATTATTTAATTTTCTATATTATTTACAACTTAGACATTAGTGTACATGAAACATCGGTAGTTCTAGTGTTAATTCTGTAAGTATAGATCAGTCCATCTGGTTTATCTGATAAATCAGAAAATAAATCTTGAAAAAGGTAAGAGAACTTACGAGCCAGCACTCTCGATTTCTGCAGTTCTGATTCGACAGTGATTTCAGCAGAGGGGTCTCCGCCCAAATATCGCGAACAAAGATTCAGCCGATCTGGTTCGCGTATCTCAGTCGGATAACACGTTCGAAGAAACGCCCATGAACTGTCTCTTTTGAAATTCGAGCGAAGGTGTTGCAGCCAGGCATCGTCGCGCCGCCTTTCGAGATTATGCGAGTATTTATCGATTTGCATTTACATTTGTCTCGTCACGCTGCGCGTCGCGCCATTGTGAACGTTCGTCTGCATAATTCGAGGACGAAGCTTTCGTCTGTCGACGAGGACGTTAGCTTTTTCAGGAGCATATATTTTTAATCGTTCCGTAGCTCGGTCGAACCACGAAAATACCGAACGGATCAAAGATCAGGCGAAAAATTCGCTTTATTCGGAGGATCGGGCGCGACCAGGAATCCTCGTCCCGTTGTCTGGTAGCCGCATATTTGCGCGGCTGATTCATTTGCTCGAGTTTCGAAAGGCGCTCGGATCGTATCGAATCGAAGCGCAAAGATCGATGCTCTCGTCCTCTTTCGTGTTTCTTGCTGTGTGTACAGCCTTCGATGTAGGAGAAAATGGATAAAACGAGGCGCACTTGACCTTTTCCGCGAGGTGTAAGTGGCTAATAAACGCGACCGTCCGCTTCTAAGTAGATCAAGATGAACCGCTAGTTTGAACAGATGGAATTGTTTATCTTGAGAATTTACTGCTCAATCAGTGTACACTGGCGAGCAAATCAGGTTTCCCCGGGAAAAATCTTCATGTCCCGAGTTCTCGTCCTTCTCCTTAAACGGTCAAGGGGAGAATGACGATGGAGGGGAATAGATCCCATATACAGGGTGTCCCGTAACTGGTGGTACAAGCGAGTAGGGGGTGATTCAACGTGAAAAATTGAATCGAAAATGTAGAATTAAATTTTTTCATATGATGCTTTAATTTCGAAAAGAAATTACTCAGGAAAGAAAAGAAAAGCCTCAGTAAACACTCGGAACAGTAAGATAGTAAAATTCGTCGAACTCGATAAATTTTCAAACTTATTTTTTTCGAAAATAAAGCGTCATATGAAAAAATTTTATTTTCGATTCAATTTTTCACGTAGATTCACCCCCTACTCGCTTGTATCACCAGTTACGGGATACCCTGTATATAGATCCGTGACCTCCCACCACTTGCGTGTAAACGTTTACGCGGGAAGTTTGAAACGATATTTATTTATCAATCTATATCACCATTTTCCCTATGGAGTTGATTGCATTAGTGGAGGAATAATGAAGACGGTATAAAAACAAACGTTCTGAAGGATTGCAATTTACTGAACAGACATTTGTATGCAAGTGAATAATGCATAATAGAGTGTAATGAATCGTTAAGCGTTCAGCAACAATAAGACTACTTATCTTCGTGTCTTTTAATACAGTGGTAATTACAAAGTTGGCCGAACAAACGAGGAAAGCGTACTTGACCTTTCCTCGCAAGGCGCAAACAATTAATAAGCGTGGTCGGTCGCGTGCATCGCGAAGCACACCCGGCCCGCAATAAATCCTCGAATGATTCAGGATAAAGTTGTTCGCTTCACCGATTAACAAGACTAGAATGATGAATAAAAACGTAGCTTGCTCATCCTGATCGCGCGAAGTGCAAACAATTAATAATCCTTCGGATACGCTTGTCTTTACAGCTAAGTGTTTCCATGTTTAGATTACATCGTTGGTAGCAGACGGCCTAATGAAAATAGCCGTAAAATCAAGCAGATTTATGATGAATGATGTTTGAAGATCGTAAATAGAACAACTAAGAAATGTTCGAATTGATACGATTTTTCGAGAGTAATTAAGAAGATGCTTGTTTCAGAGAAAACTGACTTATTTCAATTATCTATAATCTTAAGTATTTCTAATTAAATAAGTAGGTTTTCTTAGAGAAAAGGCGATCCCCCGTAACCTCCCCAAGTTTCGATCTTCCCCATCGGTGGCCGCGGGGAAAATGACGATGCAGGTGAGAGGACCTTACGTACACAGGCTTGTGGCAGACCACCGCCCACGCGGAGTTTGAATTGATATTTATTTATTATAATAATAGTATGTTACTTCTAAACTTAAAAATAATATTATTATACTTCTAAATTACTTTTAATACTCTGGAAACGACTTCTTCCCCTATACCGCCATTTCTCATGGGGAAGCTTTGATGGTACTTGAACTTTTGAATTTTGCCTTCACTGACATAGTTGATATATTTTTATAGAAATTCAAGTGACACTATAGTCAATATTTACCAGAAATTGAGGGAACCAAAAGATCCACCCCCAAACCGTGAAAATCACCAAATTCCACCCCCGATTCTTCGCAAAGCGACTGTTACAAGTATACCAAGTGAAACGTGTCGAGAATCGCAAGTAGCTTCAGACGAAAGTACATACTTTCCTCTGGGAATCATCCCCAGGAAACTTAGCAACCCCGGAAGAGTGTCGCGTGTGCGTGTAGCCACGTGCTAACACACGTGGAGCAGAAATACCGGCATAGAGGAAAAGAGAGGGTGCGGAGCGGAAGCGAGACGGAGCGTACTGGCGGTACACGAAGCCCTATGGCTCGTCGCTACGAACGAGAGGAGAGCTCAGTGCTACGATGGTCAGCAAGCGGACAAGTCGCGGCGCAGCTACTAACGGCTCTTACTCCTCGAGGAGGCATCCGCGTCGGAACAGAGACGGAGAAAACCGCGTGTCTCGCTTAATCGCGGCTAATTAAGACGATTCGCCGTCTGCACTGTCCGTTGCACTGTCATTGACCGTCTGCGGTTTGCCGGCCTCGTAAATCATCCTGCTTCCCTCGCGGCAGAATGCCGGGTAATTGTGTCACGGTTGATATACGAACGTATTTTCGTCCGCTTGAAAATTGATTAACCGAGGAGAACGCGAATAAACTAATTTTCATTCTTCGCGAAAGAAAAGGTGCCTTTCGAAAAAGAAAACTTATTTCGGTGTTTTCGAAGTTGAAAGGAACGATAATATTTTCGCGGTTCGTCGCGATGGACTTGTGTTCCCGAAGTTTGAAAATGATCGGTCGGGAGGAAAACTAGAGTAACACGGAGCTGGTAGGTGGAAGCGCCGCGGTGGATAGAAGTTTACCACGTGCTTGCTTGCGGCGTATTCCGGCGCGAAGGAAACCACGTGGCCCGTGACAGAAAACCTTCTTCTCGAGTAAGTTGACTGAAAGCAAAGACGCGTTTTGTGTTTCCTCTACCCGGGGGATTTCTACTGGGTTTGCGTTCTCTCAGAAAAATTCATTTCGTTACGCGGAAAGGAATTGAAAAATTACAAGGACACCTTACGAATGTATCGAAAGTGAAATGTTTATAAATGCTCATGACACTCATCATTAATATCAGTGAAAGTGTCGAAGAAAAGCGACACGATAATTCGTTCCGACGTGCTTTTCCATCGTTTACATGATACAGTTCGGAGTAGGTTTCATCTCGCGAATGGTAAAACGAAAAAGACCCGCGATAGCTCTAGGCGTGCAAGCCCGAGCCAGACGCGGCGACGCGATGCGTCGCGTGTACTGAAAACAATGCACCCGACGCCGCGCCGCGTTGCAGGCGCGATCTTACTCGACGGACGGACAAATAATTGCGTACTCGAGGCGTATTAAGATAGCAAGTTATCGCGAAGCAGGCAACGAGGATTGGCCCGCGATACAGTCGCATAATCGACGAGAATAATTCTTTCACTGTGACAGGAGTGAAAAGCAACCTTCCAGCCGATTCATCCCTCTATCCGTATCACATATTAAACAAAATTTTCTCTTTCTCTTTTTCATTGCCACTATTGCATCAATTATTTTCTATTAATTTAATTCTTCGAAATGTAGGAATTCGCTCGACCTTAAAAATGAAAAAGAAAAAAAAGGAGCAGATTTTCGATTCGATCGATCAATCGTGTCGTTGAAAAAGCAGTGTTTTAAAACGCCGCTGATCTACATAGACGATGGAACGTCCGTGTGAACGGCCTGTGTCCGAGGCTGTCCACTCGGTCGTATAATTTCTGGGCCGAACGCGTAATTTAACGCACTCCCACTTGCGTCACGTGATTATATCGTTTCCGTGACTGTTTATACCGTTCGTACGGTTTTAATTGTCCCGCGCATTGTTCGCACGCGGATATTACCAACGGGATACGGTTTGGGGGAGTCGCTTCCGAAAACCTTTGAAAATAATTGCTTTCACTTGGAACGGCATCGATTATCGATGCGACACGACGGGCTTTGAGGGAATCGAGGCTGGATTCCGTGGTTCGCGGGATTTTCTTTTTTTTTGGTTGGAATTCTGAAGCGTCCCGCTCGAACTTGACGAGAATTTCGAACGGGAGAACTCGTGAGGAGAATAAAAAAATCTGTACAGAATTTTTTATTTTCTATACTTTCGTGCCATAAGTTTTCTGAAAAAAAATTTTAAATTAAGAAAAGAATTAATTTGTACGCTGTTCCTTAACCCTCGGACAGCGGATCGATTTCAGGGGTTAATAAGAGGTTGCGACATTGAACTACAATTTTTATTCTCAAGTGTAAAAAATCTGGGGTATAAAGAGTTTAAGTTTGAAACGCAATAGGATTTAATCGTTCAAGTTCAAGGAAGTTTCGCAACTTGTTTCTCCAAGTAATCTCGCGTACATTTAGCTGAAGAATAGGGCAAACAGAGTTACTCTGGAACTCGCGGATCAGTTTATCTTCGTGGGAACACGGTTCTCTTTAAAATAGAAGGAAAGCGTTAAAAATGTATCACCAGACGGATATCGAAGATCCAATTCCATTCTCAGAAATGTTCGAGGAAAACAGAAAAAACAAACCTGGATTGTATTATCAGAAAGGGGCGGACAATGATTTCTTGGTACACTCGACACTTTTTTATTCCTGGAAGTTTATCGAACACATGTTCCGTGAAAAAAGAAGCACGTATGTCTACGTGTCGAACTTTTGGAGAAAGCACACTGAACAGAAACCACTTCGAAATACTTTGATACTTTGACTGTGGCTGTAAATCAATCATAATTCTCATTAACCTTTTCCCTATCAATGACGTATATTGACGTCCTTAGGAAACTGACTATTAGTTGCTTGTCGAGCCATCGGTGGAACATAAATTTTTGCTAATTGCATATCAAGGTACAACAAAAGAATGGAATTCCAGTAGAACATAAATTTTTCTTGATTGCATACGAAACT